CGGCCCACGGCTGGTCTCGCCTGCTAGTGCAGCATGCACGTTCGCCTCCCGGCAGCGCTCGGGCCCATTCCAGGTGGCCCCGGGCGCCGGTCAGGGGTGTTAATGCACAGGCAAGGAGGACACTGTCCGTCAAATGTGGCGGTGCTCTGGAAATCCTGGGGTGGATTCCTGCGCATGCCGGGGGGGTGCGCTGTCGTGTGGATCGTGCGAAGGGCTCAGAGCTAGCTGTGCACTGAGTGCTCTACCTCCCGGCAGCGCTCGGGCCCATTCCAGGTGGCCCCGGGCGCCGGTCAGGGGTGTTAATGCACAGGCAAGGAGGACACTGTCCGTCAAATGTGGCGGTGCTCTGGAAATCCTGGGGTGGATTCCTGCGCATGCCGGGGGGGTGCGCTGTCGTGTGGATCGTGCGAAGGGCTCAGAGCTAGCTGTGCACTGAGTGCTCTACCCGGGAGAGCGCTGCCTGGGCTGCTTGCCCCCCTGTGCCTTGCTGCCCCTTTGCCGGGCAGCCCAGGAACAGAGGGAGGCCTCAGATGGGGGCCAGGACAGCCGCAGAGGAGCCTGGCATGTGGGGCACCCCCGGCCGTGCCCCTGCCCAGGGCTGCTGTGGGGAGCCAGGGACCCAGGACATGGGCCAAACGCCCTGCCCCCGCCTACCCCCCCGGGCCTGCCTGGGGGACACACTTGGACCTGCGCCAGAGCCGGCTTGTATTGCCGGGGGCATGTGAGCCTGGCGCTGGCCCAAGGGGACGGGGTCTGGTCCTGGAGCACTTGCCCAGGGCCCGGCTCTCCCGGCAGGGGGCTGGGCGGGAGCCTGCTCCCATGGGGACAGGGTCTGATCCGGGAGCACTAGCGCAGGGCCCTGCTGCTCCCATGGGGACGGCCACTCACCTGGGTGTGGGAGGTGCAGGCGTAGCGCTTCAGGTTCCCGAAGTCGCAGGTGGTGTCCTCCAGGCAGAAACTCGCCTTGTGGCCCTCAGCCACCTTCTTCCCGCTGGTGGCGTCCAGCAGGTCGTAGTGACTGAACTCGTCCATGCTGTGGTAGTGCCTGGCGACCGGGAGAGGCCTGTACCACAGGGCTGTTCCCAGATGCCTGCCCGGGCGTCGATGGGGGCAGGGAAGTGGCAGGACCCAGACCCTCCCCTCCCCTCCCCACGCCACAGCGGCATAGTGGGCGTGTCAGGCACCCGCGCCCACAATGCATCACTCACCGCTGCGGAAGCCAGAGCTGCTCTTGGGCTGGAGCCACTAGTCCCGGGCTCTGCGATGATGTGGCCTGGCCCTTTGGGAGCCGCCCAGGGTGCTGAGCAGCACAGGGGCTCCTGGACACAAGCCGGGGAGCGGGAGGGCAGGGGATTTGGAGTTGGGATAGGTCAATGGAGGAGGGGAGGAACGGGGGGGAGCAAGTGAAGGAGAAAATGGAGAGAGGAAGCCCAGGTGGGGGTGGGATGGAGGGGCCAGTCCATTGACCTAGAGCCAGGGGTGGCTGCTTTACTGACCCGGAGCCTTGCCCTGAGCCAGCCTGGGGACCCGCCTCTGCCCACGAGTGCAAGGAGAGGGACTAGCACGGCGCTCAACTCACTGGTGGCAGCTGGGCCACTCCCAGCTGTGGCGGGGACGGTTGGGCAGGAAGTCTGCTGTGCCCTGGTTCTTCACCCGCTGTGGAAACCTCAGCAGCACCCGCACGTCGTAGTCGGTGGCCTCGGGGGTGTAGGCCGTGCTGCCGGTTCAAGAGGAGATGGGCAAAAGTCACACCACCCTGAAAGCAGCGGGAGACAGCCGAGGAGCTTCCACTGGGAGCACAGGGAATGCTTTTCGGTGAATGGCTTCTTTGGTGAAAAGGCATTTTTGGCAGGGGAAGAGGGGGAGGCGCACGCTGTTCCTGAATGCAGGTGAAAGTGGATGGTTCCTTTTGGCTTTGTCTGAGGTCAAACTGTTTGTTTCAGCTTTTCAGCTGGAAGCAGCGCATCCTGAAAGCAGCGGGAGACAGCCGAGGAGCTTCCACTGGGAGCACAGGGAATGCTTTTCGGTGAATGGCTTCTTTGGTGAAAAGGCATTTTTGGCAGGGGAAGAGGGGGAGGCGCACGCTGTTCCTGAATGCAGGTGAAAGTGGATGGTTCCTTTTGGCTTTGTCTGAGGTCAAACTGTTTGTTTCAGCTTTTCAGCTGGAAGCAGCGCATGCGTGCGTGCATGTGTGTGTGCGCGTGCATGTGTGTGTGCGCGTGCGTGCATGTGTGTGTGCGCGTGCGTGGGCATGTGTGTGTGCGCGTGCGTGTGTGCGCGTGCGTGCGTGTGTGCGCGCGTGCGTGGGCATGTTGGCCAAATCAGAACAGAACCCAGGAAAGCGGATTCACTGCAGGACGACTGCAGCGTCCCCAGGGCAGACTGACCAGTATCTGGAAGCAGAAGACCCTGGGTTTGGTTTGACTTCAAGCTGCCTTTCCTTCAGCCAACCTGAAACCCGTAGTTTGCTCCGTTTGGCTTGTCATCACCTGTCCCTGGGGGAGGGGATGCTCCGTCCTAACTCCAGGCAGCGGGGGCCTGTTCTACAGCGCATAGAGCCAAGGGACGCGTGTCTATTGCTTTCCAGAGCTGGTGGGTTAGAGCAGGCGCTCAGGGTCACAGATGCACATCAAGTTGAGCGCTAGGTTTGCCAATGAGTCACTGGGCTGGCCTGTGGGCTCTGGAATTGCTGCTCACTTAAGCCCTGCCTCCCCTCGACCAGGGCTGGCATCACTGCCCTCCCTGCAGCAACCTGATGTGCAACAGCTTCATAATAACCTGGAGGAGCGGATGGGTCGCACCCTCAGCAAGTTCGCAGATGACACTAAGATAAGGGGAGAGGTGGATACGCTGGAGGGCAGGGAGAGGGTCCAGAATGACCTACACAGATTAGAGGATTGGGCCAAAAGAAATCTGAGGAGGTTCAAGAAGGACAAGTGCAGAGCCCTGCCCTTGGGACGGAAGAATCCCAAGCACTGGTACAGGCGGGGGGCCGACTGGCTAAGTAGCGGTTCTGCAGAAAAGGCCTGGGGGTTCCAGTGGATGAGAAGCTGGATATGAGGTAACAGTGTGCCCTTGTAGCCAAGAAGGCGAATGGCATACTAGGGAGCATTAGGAGGAGCATTGCCAGCAGATCCAGAGAAGGGGTTATTCTCCGTTATTCGGCACTGGTGAGGCCACATCTGGAGTATTGTATCCAGTTCTGGGCCCCTCACTACAGAAAGGATGTGGACGCATTGGAGAGGGTCCAGGGAGGGAAACCAGAACTGATCAGGGGGCTGGAGCACATTCCTTAGGAGGGATTTGGTTTGTTTAGTCTGCAGAAGCGAAGAGTCGGGGGGGATTTGAGAGCAGCCTTCAACCTCCTGAAGGGAGGTTCCAAAGAGGATGGGGAGAGGCTGTTCTCAATAGTGATGGATGGCAGAAC